CCCCAAAACCCCAAAACCCCAAAACCCCAAAACCCCAAAACCCCTTCTGCTTCCGCATAAATTGACAAAATCCAGAACGTAATAATTAAGTTAATATGGAAGATATTATTGAAACATTTAACTTTTCTCCTGGTCCATCGTGTTTGCCGAAGGAGGTGCTTTTAAAGGCTCAAGAGGATACACTTAATTGGAATGGATCAGGGATTAGCGTAATGGAAATGTCGCACAGATCTAAGGAATTCATTGAAATTATGCAGAACGCGGAGAATGACTTCAGAGAGCTCATGGAGATTCCTGAGGAATTTGAGATCTTGATGCTCCCGGCTGGAGGATCTATGCAGTTCTCAGCAGTGCCAATGAACCTCTTAACTAAGAATAAGAAAGCAAATTACTTGGTCTTTGGCTCTTGGGGGAAAAGCGCTATCAATCATGCTAAGAGATATGCTGATGATATCACCGAAGTTGTTGACCCAGATAGCATTGGTAACACTATTCCAGATTTTTCTACTTGGAAGATTGACCCTGAAGCCAAATATTTCCATTACTGCGATAATGAGACTATCTATGGTATTGAAATCAATGATTTTCCATTTGAAGAACTCAAAGACCAACTCCTGGTTTGAGATATGAGCTCTAACATCTGATCAAGAAAGGTAGACTGGAGCAAATATGGACTTGTATATGCTGCAACCCAAAAGAACATTGGACCCGCTGGTGTCTGCATGGTCATCATCAGGAAAGATTTGATTGAAGAACCAATGACAATAACTCCGGATGTCGCTAGCTACAAGAAATATGCTGATGCCCCATATAGATGCTTCAACACTCCTTGAACTTGGTCAATTTATGTATGTGGACTCAATCTCGCCATCATGAAAGAGAAGGGTATCGAAGCGATTGAAGAAGAGGCCCTCCTTAAATCCGGTATGATCTATAAGGTCATCGATGAAAGTGACGGATTTTACATCAATAGTATTGATAAAAAATACAGGTCAAGACTTAACGTGGTCTTCAACATCAAAGATGATAAAGAGTTAGAGGCAAAATTTGTTGAAGATGCTGCCAAGAATGGCCTAATTAGTGTAAAAGGACACAAGAGTGTTGGTGGGCTCCGTGCATCAATTTACAACTCGATGCCTGTGAGAGGTGTAGAAAAACTAGCTGAATTCATGAAAAAATTCCAGGAGGAAAATCAACAAGGGTAAAATGTAGCTAAGAAGATTAACTAAGACTAATTTCTTATTTTATAATTAGTATTAATGGGGTTTTGGGGTTTTGGGGTTTTGGGGTTTTGGGG